CAAGTGGTGGTGCCCTTTTATGGGTTATCAGGAATATAAATGAAACAAAGTAAGGAATATTTTGACTATTTATTAGTACAGTTGTGTTCAAAATAACAGCAGTCAGACATCACTAACCTGATCAATCACTGTTTTTGGTAGAAATGATATTTCTACATGGCAAATAATTTACTAGCAGGTGTAGTAGAGTAATAGAAATCCAACAGACCCAACAGTCATGACATGCATGCTACTGATTCTGTGTAATTGAATCAATAATTGAAAGGGGCATGTTCAAAATAATAGCAGTGTGGAGTTCTATTAGTGAGGTCATTCATTCTTTGAAACACAGGTGGCAATTATTGCCCTTATTTAAGAAAGGAAGGCAGCAAATGTTGTACATGCTGGTTACAATGCATTTCTCTCTGAAATTCTGAGGAAAATGGGTCGTTCCAGACATTGTTCAGAAGAACAGTGTACCTTGATTAAAAAGTTGATTGGAGAGGGGAAAACATATAAAGAAGTGCAGAAAATGATAGGCTGCTCAGCTAAAATTATCGCAAATGCTTTATAATTGCAACCAAAACCTGAAAGACGTGGAAGAAAGCAAAAAATTACCATTCGAATAGATAGAAGAATAGTCAAAATGGCAAGGACTCAGCCAACAATCAGCTCCAGGAAGATCAAAGAAGGTCTAAAGTTACCTGTGAGTACTGTTACAATTAGAGGACGCCTATGTGAAGCCAAGCTATCTGCAAGAAGCCCCCGCAAAGCCCCACTGTTGAAAAAAAGACGTGCTGAAGAGGTTACAATTTGCCAAAGAGCACATTGACTGGCCTAAAGAGAAATGGCGCAACATTTTGTGGACTGATGAAAGTAAGATTGTTCTTTTTGGGTCTAGTGGCAGTTTGTCAGACAAGCCCCCAAATACTGAATTCAAGCCACAGTACACTGTGAAGACAGTTCGCAGGTGCCAGAAGTTGGTTGACTCCACGCAACACAGATGTACAGCAGTTCTCAGAAACAGTGGTTATACAACTAAATATTAATTGATTCAAAGGAAAGCAAAATCTTAAAACATTTTTCAGTTTATATAGTGAATGTTTGAGTTTGTAAAGAATACAAACACTGCTATTTTTTTGAACAGTCTAATATTCACTTTTCTTAAATTTTTTTAGAGGAACAACACAAATTTGATATATTTTTCTTCATGTTTTGATTTGGAATAGAATGTGTAGTGTTCCCAATACATTTGTGGGTATGGAAATAAAAGCTATTAAAAGGATTTTGAGCTTTATTCACTTTTTTCAACACACTGCTATTATTTTGAACACAACTGTATATGTTAGTATTTAGTATTACTGTTTATCAAGCATTTTCTGTATTTGTATGCATGACTATTTGAACTATGGGCCCGTGAAACTGATTCCTTTGACTAAACTGTCATTGGTACCTTTTTGTTCTATCATATGCTTCACAAGATGTTCTCTTAAGTTGTCTGTTAAATTACCATATTCTCTTTTAAAATCTTCACCACAAGAACAATTCCTGTCAATTTTAGAATTTTACAGCATCATATTCCTTAAAATAGGAGATTGCAGATGGCAGTTTCCAGTGGTGTCACTAGGGTTGATTTCACCTGGTGTGGTAAAACATGGTGTTACCCCCCCCCCAATAATTTTTTTCTCATATGCCACTTGGCACTGAGCAGGCTAGCACAGGGCAGTAGACACTGGGCAGGTTAGTGCATCGGGTTCTCTATTGTCTAGCCTGCCAGGCTGCCACAGTACCCTGCAGGGCTCTGGGCATGCTAGCTTCAGGCCGGTAGTGCACAGTCACGGTGCACACCCCAAACCGTCCCCTGTAAATGATGCGGTCAGTGACAGCTCGCCGATCTGTGTGCTGTCACAGATGGGGGTGACAGTAACACCATTGTGATCGGATATCACTTCCTACTTGGATGGTGTCACCAGGGACATTTTAATTGCATCATGGGCCCCTGGGCAAAGTCTTGCGCTGGGGTCCTACCAGCCTGCCCAAATTTACGCACCGACTGTAAAGAATTAAGGTATATATAGATGATAGAATTAAACATATATTTTTTTGGTACTTTCAATAAGATTGATTTTAAATAATAAAAAAATGCCTTAAATCAAGGACTAATCAACACAAATATCCAAACAATATAAAAAGTCAGTAAAGTAGAGGACAGGGCATCAGTAGGACAGAGTATGGGTGTCATCTGGACAAAAAGTGCAGAGTTGGGGTGGGAGGGGGGAAAGAGCGCAGGGTATGGGTGTGGGCAGGAGGGTACAGTACATGGGGGCAGAAGGGCACAGTATGGGAGGGGGCAGAAGGGTGCAGTATGGGGGGGAAGGAGGGTACAGAATGGGAAGAGAGGAGGGCACAGTATGGTGGGGTCTGGAGGGTACAGTACAGCACAGTACAGAAGGCAGCAGGAGGGCAAAATATGGGGGGGGGGGGGGGAGGTAAGCAGACACAGTACAGGGGATAGGAGGGTACAGTATAGGTTGCAGTAATATATAATACAGAGATGGTCTACTCAAGCAGAACTGCGCAGGGAAGCTGCTGTCACTGATCTTACCTATTCTGGCAGGCTGTCACTGAATTGGAATGACATCTCCCCCCCTCTGCCTTCCCCTTAATAGTTTCTGGCTATCTTCTGCTGCTTTCCAGGGGTTAAAGAAGAACCCAGAGGAGGAGCATCTTACTACTGCTGCTGTTTGTGTGGGCAGGATATGTACTGAGCTGATCACATTGTAATGATTAGGAGAGGACAGCCAGCAGGAATCGGTGCCGTACACATCCAGCCTACACAAGCAGCAGCAGTAGAAAGATGCTCCACCTCAGGGTTCTTCCTTGTCCCCTGCAAAACAATTGGGGTGGGGGGAATTGGACTGGGAACCATGGATTGGGTAGTGGGGGGGATGGGTAGAGAAGAACTGGAGTGAAACTGGAGGATCTTGCTCTGAATAGGGAGGATTTGTGCTGGCCTGAGGGAAAGGGGAGGAGAGGAAAATAGATTGGGGTCAAGGGGACTGGAGAGGGATGGTCAGGGATGGGCATGGGGAATACTGTTGGCGGTGAGGAATAACCATACTATAGTAAAACAAAGTGGCTGTCATGGAGGGGGAGAGGTAGATATCTCATTGAATATTAAAGAAACAGTGTTGGGGGTGTGCAGAGAGGGGGATTCTGATCATCTTCAGTGTTTGTTGTGTATGCCGGGACACACCTGTGTGAAGATGAAGTCCATCCAGCGAACAAGCAGATGAGGAAGGAGGGAGGGGGAGTGAGGGAAAGTGAACTGGAGGGACAATTATCAGGAAAGTATCAAGAAGAGAATTTGGCCGGCCGGGAGAAGAGGCTGTAAATTATCAGGGCTGCTCTGTGCTGGCAAACTGGCTGGCTGGGAGAAGGGAGCGAACGTTCAGAGAGAGAGGCAGTTTGATAGGCAGAAATGGATGGATCAGTGCGGGGAAGAAAGGGAGCAAGACAGGATAGTGGCTGAGGTAAGAAGGGTGTCGAGTAGAGTGAGTGATGAAGACAGCTGGAGATGTGAACTAAAGATAAGGGAACTGACCTGTAGGAAATGGAAAAAGAACAGGCCAAAGCAAGGGAAACTGCAGGGAGGATACTGACAAGGCCCCCCACACAAGTAATGCCCCTGGGCAGTCCTCAGACAGGGGTGCCCATGCATTAAGATAGCTTAGGGTGTCACCCTCCTGGTTGGTGTCAACTAGGTGCGGTCCGCAACCCCCACACTTCCATAGTGATGCCACTGGCAGTTTCTAAGATCATGTTTCCACCTGCTGGCTTCCTGTATAAGGAAGTATAGATTTTTCCAAATTAATCTTTGCAACTAGGTTGAGAAAGCTATGACCCTTGTTAAAACTGCACTGATTTAATCTAATGACAAAGTTATTGAGTTCTCCCAAAGAGCCTGTCCAAAAAATAAGCACATGCTCTATACACATGTGCCACATCAAGGTATTTGGTACATAACCAGTTAATTATCAGAAATTATTCTCCCCCTAATCCAGGTACAGGTTGGTGAACTATAATAAATATGCAAAGCACATTACTGTCCTTATGCCTGGATCAATAGAAACTTGTACAAAATAAAGACATTGGGGGAATAAACAAAAAGAGTGGTGTAGGCATAGAGCCTCTGCCATTCTTCTAAACTTGAAAGGCAAAGCAGGCCCTGCTCCTAAATAACAAAGGGGTGCACACCCCTCTGTTGTTTAGAAGTGATTTGCTCAGTTTTCTATGCTGTGTTAGCAACTGATATGGCTTAGAAAGCAGGAGAGCTGGAGGAAGGATGACAGTGTTACCTCTATATTTGCTAGTGTTAACAATTAGACATATAGGCAGGGAAAGAAGCTTGCAGGAGCTGCTCATGTAGTAGAAAACTGCTGAAATCCTTTTGTTAATTGAATGTTAGTGTGGGGCACATCAATAACGCCAGTTTCCTGTGCCATTGAAATGGTGTGGGAACCTATGTTATTTCCCCAATTGAAATTAAATAAAAAAACCTATCCAGCTTCCTTCTACGTTATTGGTCTAAAAGTATATTCACTAATGGTACACCATGGAAGTGCGGTAATGAGGAATGCAGTGATTCTCTAGGTATAACATAAAATACCAGAATAGTTTGGATTTTCTATTTTCAAAAATGAATTGTATCTTTTCTAATACTTAAATAAGTAATATCAAACGTATTTTGAAAACAGTTTGTTTATGACACTGGAACTTGTCTATACCATTGCATATTTCTTGGCAAGGGTTTGCATAAATGTCCACATACACTATATTGCCAAAAGTATTGGGACACCCCTCCAAATCATTGGATTCAGGTGTTCCAATCACCTCCATGGTCACAGGTGTATAAAATCAAGCACCTAGGCATGCAGACTGATTCTACAAACCTTTTTGAAATAATGTGTTGCTCTTGGGAGCTCATTGAATTCAAGCATAGTACCATGATAGATTGCCACCTGTGCAATAAGTCCATCCATGAAATTTCCTTGCTACTAAATATTCCACGGTCATCTGTTAGTGGTATTATAACAAAGTGGAAGCAACTGGGAACAACAGCAACTCAGCCACTAAGTGGTAGGCCACATGAAATGGCAGAACGGAGTCAGCACATGCAGTGCGCAGAAGTCAGAGTCAGTAGCTAAATACCTCCAACCTTTATGTGGCCTTCAGATTAGTGCACAACAACAGTATGTATAGAGCCACACGGAATGGGTTTCCATGGCCGTGCAGCTGCATCCAAGCCTTACATCACCAAGTGCAATGCAAAGCGTCGGATGCAGTGGTGTAAAGCATGCCGCCAATGGACTCTAGAGCAGTGGAGATGTGTTCTCTGGAGTGGCAAATCATTCTTCTCTGTCTGGCAATCCAATGGATGTGTCTGGGTTTGGCGGTTGCCAGGAGAACAGTACTTTCCTGACTGCATTGTGCCAAGTATAAATTTTGGTGGAGGGGGGGGAATTATGGTGTGGGGTTGTATTTTTCAGGGGTTGGGCTTTGTCCCTTAGTTCCAGTGAAGGGAACCATTAAGGCATCAGCATACAAGACATTTTGGACAATTTCATGCTCCCAACTTTGTGGGAAAAGTTTGGGGATGGTCCCTTCCTGTTCCAACATGATTGAGCACCAAAGCAAGGTCCATAGAGACATGGATGAGTGAGTTTGGGGTGGAGGAACTTGACTTGTCTGGACAGAGATCTGACTTCAACCCAATAGAACACCTTTAGGATGAATTCGAGCAGAGACTGGGAGCCAGGCCTTCTCGTCCGACATCAGTGCCTGACCTCACAAATGGGCTTCTGGAAGAATGGTCAAACATTCCCATAAACACACTCCTAAACCTTGCGGACAGCCTTCTCAGAAGAGTTGAAGCTGTTATAGCTGCAAAGGGTGGGCCAACTCAATATTGAACCCGGCGGACTAAGACTGGGATGCCAATAAAGTTCATGTGCGTATAAAAGCAGATGTCCTAATACTTTTGGCAATATATAGTGTATGTTCACTGTGTTCTTTACACATTTTATTATTAGTAACAGACTACAGACTCTAGTCTGATCACTGACCTGCATTATGCAATAGAAACTGAGAGGAAAAAAGCTTACATATGTATACACATTAGGTGATAAAGGGGGTGTGACCACATGTTAACATTAAACAGAACTAACCCTTTGCACACCGCTATACCCCATTACATATTTTAGCAAACGTTTGTATAAAAACAGAGTGTTTTGGTTCACATATATTGCAATACATGTCTGTCTGCCCCATATTGGAACTATACACATATTTACATACACAGTTGATTTTAGAACCACTAAAGTATGCTATAAGCAAGTAAGTATTTTGGAACAGTAGAGCAGGGACTAGTGAAAGCTGTAGCTGCCAATGGCGGCGTGGGTAGGCTGGTGCGCGAACGTCTGCCCCCTACCCAGTGATACAAAATCACGTATATAAACGTAATTTTGTGCAGCCCTGCTGCCTTGTAGCAGTAGTTCTACTATAGGTCGGTCAGAAAGCAGTTAAGGACGCTGCGACTGCCCTCTCCTTAACAACCAGCTATTCCAAATGAAACAAAACAAATGCCGAAGATACAAAATGAATTCCAAAAACAAATTAGTTCAACATAACAAATATGACAAAATGAAATTCTTCAATTAACAAATGCATCTGAAACGAAAGTTTACAGTGAAATTATATCTATCCCTTGGTTCTCTCCCCAGAGATTGGCTGTGTGGACCATTTTTGAAACGTGCTGTACAGTTGTGCTCAAAAATTTGCATACACTTGGAGAATTGGTAATACAGTACCATATTTAAAGAAAACATGAGTGAGCAAGCAAAACACATTTCTTCTCTTTCTTATGGGATTCATATTTAACTGTAGACCAAAAGAGAATGGCACAATCATAAAACAAAACATGGCAACAAGTAAACAAATGAAATGACCCCTGTTCAAAAATCTGCATACCCTTAGTTCTTAATACTGTTTATTGCCCTCTTTGGCATCAATGACAGCATGCAGCCTTTTGTAATAGATGTCTATGTGGTCCAAATTCTTGCAGGTGTAAACTGCGCATTGGTTTTGGCAAAATGTCTCCAGGTCATGCAAAAGTCTTTGGTCCTCTTGCATGAATTGCACATTTGATATCTCCCCAGAGTGGCTCAATGATATTAAGGTCAGGAGACTGTGATGGCCACTCCAGAACCTTCACCTTTTTCTGCTGTAACCACTGGAGGGTCTACTTGGCCTTGTGCTTAGGGTCATTGTTGTGCTAGAAAGTCCAAGAGTGTCCCACTATCTTCTATTAAAAAGATCTGTTTTATTTGTATACAGTGTATTAGAACAAATACCTTTTCATTTAATATTTCTTGCTGCTGAAAATGAGCTATATGACTCCAAATGTGCTTCCTATTAAAAAGAATATAATTCTGTTTGGCAAAAATGCTGCATTTTTATAAAAAAAACTGTTTCATGTAATATTTCTAGCTGTAATAGGCTAACTGCCTGTCTCCAAATTAGCTTTCTAATAAAATGGAGGAGATGCTGTTTAATGGATTTTGTGAATTTGTAAACAAAGTGAAATTTTGACGAAAGTGAAGAGTTAAAAACCAAGAGTTACAGGCATTTTTTCTTCTTCTTTGAGATCTTTGATGTCAGCTTTTAAAACACTCTTTTTCCTTTTTTCTCCTTACTGTTCTGACACTTTTTAGATTCTTTATTTTATTAATTTTCATATTATAAACCAAACAAAAACAAACAGTATCGTAAAAAAAAACAACGATGAGTACATGTTTCCAAGATATTTTTCTACTAAGTATAGATAATTCAAGAACCATTTCCAGTCACCCATCTCACAGGAACAAATAGAATGAAAAAAGAAAAAAAAGGGAAAGTATCCCCCCCCTTTTCCCCAATTTCACATAGTGTCCAAAGGAAACTGATATTCAGATATATATAAAACTTTGTACGAACAAGACAATTTAAATATAAAGTTCTCATAGGTACCCTTTTCAGTGCTTAATAAATCTTCCATCTGATATATTTATTTTCCCCAACCATTGTGCCATAGAGGGGGCTTGACAGCAGGCTGGGATGCAGCCATGCACTGTGTCTATTAACAAGGGGAGTATCGATTTTGTATAAAATGTATTTGAGTAGGTATGATGGTGTAACTGAAAGGAAGCAGGATCTAGCTGAAGCAGCTGATTTGTCACTTTTTGTGTAATACGCAAGACCTCCGTCCAGAAAAGTAGCACCTTAAAAAAACATGTAGTAAGTCCCCTATGGCCTTCCCACATCTACAGCAAAGATTGGAACTCAGTGGTAACATTTTATTCTGGTGGGCTGGTGTATAATACTATCTAGTTTCTTGGTACCTGAAACATATTGAGGTCTTTTTTTCGAAAAACAAAGAATTCTGTCCATTTGTTCTGAGGTGAACGAAATCCGAAGAGCTCATTTCCATTCAATGAGATTGCATGTTTAAGAGGTTCTGAAGAGTCACAGAGCTGCTCAAACGGTGTAAGAGTCGTACATGCTGTATGTTTATGCTGATGGTAATGAGGACAAGTAATGTAATAACTGAACCTTAGTCCAGAATCTAAGAGCAAGTTCTGAAAATTATGCCGATGATGTTGCGTTGTAGTGCACCATGGGAGAGTAGACAAAGGAATTGAGGATATAGCCTGTTCAATAGCCACCCAATGTTTTTGGGCACCATGTTTCAGCCATTCAAGAACCCTGGACAAATGACAGGCCTACTGATAACAATGAACATTCGAGAAGGTCATCCCCCTGCACATTTTCAGTAGTCTACGAATCGACTGTGAAAGTCTAGGGGACCCATAAAAATGGAACAAATGCCTTATTCACCTTGTGGTGGTTGTTGAGATAATTAATTCTAAATAAATTGGGCGGTGTCCGACTCCCGTAAACAATATAATGCAGTGCCTCCAGCCGTTAAATACGGCAAATACTTAATTAATAATCCAATAATATGGACACCTTAATAATTTTGATCATTTTCCTTGAGTTCTTTTCACCAATGTGAATTCTTTCCATATACACAAATATTGCCGATCTGATTAATAAATAATTTATTTATGTACAAATATATATATATATATATATATATATATATATATATACAGTGGTGCAAAAATGTATTTAGTCAGCCACCAATTGTGCAAGTTCTCCCACTTAAAAAAGATGAGAGAGGCCTGTAATTAGCATCATAGGTAGACCTCAACTATGAGAGACAAAATGAGAAAAAAATCCAGACAATCACATTGGCTGATTTGGAAAGAATTTATTTGCAAATTATGGTGGAAAATAAGTATTTGGTCAATATCAAAAGTTCATCTCAATACTTTGTTATTTATCCTTTGTTGGCAAAGAAAGAGGTCAAATGTTTCCTGTAAGTCTTCACAAGGTTGGCACACACTGTTGCTGGTATGTTGGCCCATTCCTCCATGCAGATCTCCTAGAGCAGTGATGTTTTGGGGCTGTCGCTGGGCAACACGGACTTTCAACTCCCTCCAAAGGTTTTCTATGGGGTTGAGATCTGGAAACTGGCTAGGCCACTCCAGGACCTTGAAATGCTTCTTACGAAGCCACTCTTTTGTTGCCTGGGTGGTATGTTTGGGATCATTGTCATGTTGGAAGACCCAGCCACGTTTCATCTTCAATGCCCTTGCTGATGGAAGGAGGTTTGCATTCAAAATCTCACGATACATGGCCCCATTCATTCTGTCCTGTACATGGATCAGTCGTCTTGGTCCCTTTGTGGAGAAACAGCCCCAAAGCATGATGTTGCCACCCCCATGCTTCACAGTAGGTATGGTGTTCTCTGGATGCAACTCAGCATTCTCTCTCCTTCAAATACGTCGAGTTGTGTTTCTACCAAACAGTTCTATTTTGGTTTCATCTGACCATATGACATTCTCCCAATCCTCTTCTGGATCATCCAAATGCTCTCTAGCAAACTTCATACGGGCCCGGACATGTACTGGCTTAAGCAGGGGGACACGTCTGGCACTGCAGGATCTGAGTCCCTGGCAGCGTAGTGTGTTACTGATGGTAGCCTTTGTTACGTTGGTCCCAGCTCTCTGCAGGTCATTCACTAGGTCCCCCCGTGTGGTCCTGGGATTTTTGATCACCGTACTTGTGATCATTTGGACCCCACGGGGTGAGATCTTGCGTGGAGCCCCAGATCGAAGGAGAATATCAGTGGTCTTGTATATCT